TCTTCTGCTTATTTCAAGTTCTCCGGGCAGCCCATTGTGGATTCCTTGAAATGTGCGCAGTGCGACCGAGGGAAGACCATCAGAAGCACAGCGCAGCTAGTTCATGTTCTTGAAAAGAAAAGACGGACGTCGTAACGGCTGTCGCGACACGGCTGGCGTGCCTGGGCTCGTGAGCTCCGGTCCCGTGAGCTCCGAAGCCTGCGCCGCGACGCTGTGTAGTTCCGCTCTGATGCAGGGCTGTGACGCTTGACTGTGAGCACCAGCTACGGCTCGAGCACATTTTGCAAAGTGCCGCTGTGCTAGCAACTTGGCGAGTACAGGTCGAGTTTGCGGGCGGGTGAGCATTTGCACATCATTGCGCATTACCAACATTTTGCAAAGTGCCGCTGTGCTAGCGACTTGGCGAGTACAGGTCGAGTCCGCGGGCGGGTGAGCATTTGCACATCATTGCGCATTACCTGGGCGCAGGTTGGAGAAACGAGTTCAGGCCGCCGTGTAGCTCTTGTGATTTGCGACACATTGCATTGCTCCATGTCAGTTGCGTTGGCTTAAGAAAGCCCTTGAGTTAGCCATGTCGGGTGCATCCTTGCTTGATTCGAAAGCAGCCTTCAAGGGGAAGGTTCTCGAGTACGGGCTACCTTTGCCTGTCTTTGAGGGAATTGTACGCCGGGGCGTTGACACTCTCAGCAAGGCTGCTTATGCTGTCGGTGCACCGGGTGTACTGCGTTCGGAAGACGCCCTACGCGGGTTCTTAAATCCTGATGAGCCTGCCACTGTCGAGCAAGGCCAAGTGGCCATCGCTAGGCGCCTAGTTTTCGAAGCGCAAACTTTGGCAGTCAGCCAACTCAGGCAGCAAATCGAGGGCCCAGATGAGAAGCGGCAGGATCTTCAACCTGCGGAGCGGCGCTTCAGGCTTACAGAGCAAGCACGTCGATTGCAAGGCATGTCATTGCGCGGTCCTCTCGAGTGCTCCTTCAGTTGCTACACCATCGTCATCCGTATGTTGGCGGCAGACGAGATTTCATACTTG